TAACTATATTAAATTTTCATTTAAGGAAGGTTTAGATTCAAATTTTATCACAAACTTATCTGATACTATTTCAAGACGAGCATGGGAAATAACACCTGCCATGCTTTTGAATCATCCTGATACGAATACAAAGAATAGTGGAGATGTTAATAAACCTCTCCCGCAAATAAAGACAAGAACTGGCATCATAGGAATTGAAAGAAGCCTTCAGGAACAACAAAAGGCGACTGATGAAAGTATATCAATGGCTTTCCAAGATCTCAAGAAATTGATGGAAATGGCCAAAGATATGGTTTCAATTTCGAAAACTATCTCAGCGAAAATAAGGGTGATTCTCAACAAGATTACTTTGTAAAGTTGACATTCATAATCAAAGACCATTGCAGGAGAGACAAGGAGACATCACAGAGGATGAAACAGTTAGGTTTAAGTCTTATTTAATGAGCCTTGGCATTGATGATCCTGTTACCAGAGATGCATACAAGAATAGCAATGAATATGTCAAACAATTGGCAAGAGAACTTGCAAATATTTTAGAGGAACCAATTAAAGTTAATATACTTAATCAATATTATTGTCTCTCAACGAATGTCTAAAGTATGAAATAAGTTTGATTTTATAGGAAGTTGGAGGGATGATGACACTGACAGATGTCTATTGTCGCGTAAATAGAGCTAGAGGCTTGGAGCTTATATCTCCAGAAGATTTGCTAAATGCCAGTAGACAGTTAGCATCTTTGGCTTTGCCTGTAGTATTAAGAATATTTGATAGCGGTGTTATGGTTCTTCAAGCTCGATCCCTTGAAGATGATAGTATAGCTGGTGTCATCGCTGATCTCGTAAGTAATGCGAAACAGGAATGGTTCTCTTTTTTTTTTATCAACTGTAATCTCATCTCTTTTTTCAGATAAAAGAAAAGGGGTCTTTAACAGCCGAAGAACTTGCACAATCTGGTGGTATATCAGTTCTTTTAGCACGTGAAAGATTACTAGTTACAGAAAAAAAAGGGAAAGCATGTCGAGACGATACGATTGAAGCTTTAAGATTCTATCCTAATTTATTTTTGGAGAAGGACGACTAACTGCCAACTTTTTTATTGCCATGTAGATATAAGAACATATATTTTAAATCAAATGTATTATTTCAGTGATATAAATGTAATTTTTAATTGTAAAATTTATCGAAATCTTTTACGTACTTTTATGTTTCTTCATGCGTTGTACATACACGAGAAGTTAAAAAACAATAAAGACATAATATTGTATTTTAAAATAGCTTTTATATGCCAAATTATCACTGTACTTAGAAAGTAACTTAAATAACATTACGTAGATAATCGGTAAACTTTAATAATTATATCTTGCAACTTTGTTCTGTATCAATTTCTTCTGATAAACAATTTTGTAAATATGCATGCATACATGTATTTATAAATAAATGTTACTATATGGTAACTCGCATTTAATTTCTTTGAAGAAGTTGGTAATACCTCTTCGCATCGCGTGTACTGTACATCACTGTACTGACTGTACTGACTGTTGCTGACTGTACATGGTATTGTGTATCGTACCGTGCTGTTGCCGTGTTAAAAATTATTTAAACATTGGTTTATTTAACAATTCTCTTGTAATCAATTACTCGTAAAATGAATCAGACTTCTATTGATTGTGAAACTAGAGACATAGCTTAAAGCTGGAGTAAGAACGAAATAGTTCTAAGCGTAGGGTTAAATCGAAAACCTTTTCTTACATAGCGGTTTCCTACACATACACAAGTAGTAAGCGTCACTGAATTTTTCCGAGTGCGTAACCTATTAAGTTTCCTCTTAACCATAAACAGCGTAAAGAATTAACAACATTTGTGTTGATAGCATTATTAATCGTTATTATTGCATACAGAAGTAGAGCCGGAGCAACATATAAAATGGCTTTACCTCCAAACTACAAGCAAGTGGCAATGGCCACATCAAACGTTGTTACATCTATTCGTAAGCATAATGAATTTCAAGTCTTTTATTATCCATGATTTTACTGAGTTTGTACATACTAAAGAAAAGTAATTATATTTATATTGAATAGTGAAAAAGTAATTATATTCCAGAACGGCTTAGAGCATCTGGTGGAAGCAGTAGCAGTTCAACTAATAGTGTAAGTAAATGTTACAGTCAATCAGTTTCACCAATTTACTAAAGATGTTTTTACTCAAATTAAATTTTGCTATAATTTATAGAAAGATACACAGAGCCCATTTATCCAAACATCTCATAGTCATCCAGGATTCACGCCACAAAAAGTTGGGAAAAATACAAATGTATGTGTCCTGTGTTACATGCGACAACATTGTTTTTGTTATCAATCTGTGATCCTTAAACTTTTATTCATATTGCTTGTACAGGCGGATTCTCGAATGCCTAAACCACCCAAGCCGCCAGAGAAACCTCTTATGCCTTATATGAGATATAGCAGAAAAGTTTGGGATCAAGTGAAAGCTCAGAATCCAGAATTGAAATTATGGGAAATAGGAAAGATTATTGGTCAAATGTGGAGAGATTTACCAGAAGAAGACAAAACAGAATTTATTGAAGAATACGAAGCTGAAAAAGTAACATCACATTTCTGTTGTATAATGCGAATGTAAAAACTAATATTAATATTGTTTATACATCATTAGGTCGAGTATGAAAAGAGTTTGAAAACTTACCACAATTCACCGGCGTATTTAGCTTATATTGCAGCTAAAAATAGAGGAAAATCTGGTAAACATTTTATACTTGTTACATAAGTACCATTTACAAATTGATGTCATTCTTAATCTCCTTATAATGATCACAGCACTGTGTGCGGCGCAACAAAATAACGATGATCGAGAAAGTCATGAGCGTTCATCGGGCAGTACTAAGGGACAAGCAGCTCAGGATAGAAGAATAGACATTTTACCTGCTGAAGATGACGATGGTACGTAGATTTATAAAATTTTGCTAGCATACAAATAATATACGCATAATATCCTTCTTACATTACAGACCAGGATGATGGATATTCTGTAAAACACGTTGCGTATTCTCGTTACACTCGAAATCACCGTCTTATTAATGAGATTTTCAGCGATACAGTTGTTCCAGATGTTCGTTCTGTTGTCACTACTCAGCGAATGCAAGTACTACGTCGTCAAGTACAGTCTTTGACAATGCACCAGGTATATGCTCACATATTATAATGAATGAAGTATTAATCTTCATTTGAATAATGCTTAATAATGTATTTTGTACTTTTTAATGCTATAGAAAAAGCTTGAAGCTGAATTACAGCAAATAGAAGAAAAATTTGAAGCAAAGAAACGTAAATTTATCGAGACGAGTGAAATATTTCAAGAAGAATTAAAGAAGGCAAGTTATATTATTAAGATTAACATATAATGAAATGCAAAAGAACGAAATTTTTTTTTAGCACTGTAAGCCAGCGGTGGACGAAGAAACCTTCAATAAGATGGTGGAGCGACAATATGAAGCTCTTAGACGAGATCGATTAAAGGGCACCGAAGAGAATCGATCGGATGGACCTGCGTCGAGCGAATCAACGCCGAATTCTACTCCTACTCCAACTCCTGCTTCAGTTAACGATGAAGTTCAATCCGATGTAAGTATCACTAAGCAATTTCATTCACAGCAATCGCTTACTTTATTTCATTGTAGGTTCCTGATAATGATGCAACGGATAAAAAGACAAACGGATCTGAGAAGCCCATTAATGAAATTAAGAAGGAAATACCTTCGCCCCCGTATACTGAAAGTAAACCCGAGCCGCCGCCGACTCAGGGAAATTCGAATCAGCATACATCCAATTCTGGCATGTACTGTGGGAACGTTAGTCCAGTACAACAGCAGCAACAGCAGCAGCAACAAACGTTGCCGCCGCCACCATCAGCATCGCAGCCGCAACAACCACCGTCCTTACAACCACAGCCGCAACAACAACAATCGGCGGCGTCAGCTCAACAACATCAACAGCCATCAGCGCAGCAGCATCAACAGCCACCGTCTCAGCAACACCAACAGCCACCACCTCAACAACATCAACAACCACCGTCTCAGCAACATCAACAGCCACCGTCTCAGCAACATCAACAGCCACCGTCTCAGCAACATCAACAGCCACCGTCTCAACAGCACCTACAGGCCGCACATCAGCAGCAGCATTCGCAACAACCGCAACCACCCGCACAACAACCGCAGCCCCAACAACAGCAGTGTACTGCGACAACAACGACAACCGTTCCTGGACCAGGGATCAATACAAGCGCACCTGCAAATGCAAACACAGCTCCGAATGCGCCAACTATGCCGCCCGTATCTTCACCGGCTCCTATACAACACAATCCTCATCAACAAGGGATGTTGACTAATCATTCGATACCACCTCATCAAGGGACGCAAGGAACTCAAGGAACACAGGTGCTACCACCTCAAGGACCAGTTTCTAATCCACATACTCCTCAAATGATTCCACCGAATCAAGGCTACAGTCAACAGTATCAACCAGGACCTACTCAGCAGGCCCAAAATGTCCCATTAGCTCCAAGACCTCCACATCCATCTTATGCTTATTCTCAACAGCAGCCATATCATCAACCATATCCGCAATATGCACATCCGTATTATCATCAACCATACTCGCAATATACACCGCATACTATGGGTCGTCCTCACGCCCATGGCCCTCACAGCCCGCACAGTCCTCATTATCATCCACAATCACCTCATTCTGTTGGAGAAAATAATACTACTAATAACAGTGTACCCGGTTCGAACACTGCTTCTGCACCAGCCTCTGATGCTAGCAATTCATCTTATTCTCCAGCATCGGGTCATTGTGAAAATGAACGTTCAGTCGCTTCGGAGAATCAAGAGGGTCAAGTAGATATCAAATCAGGGTCTGGTTAATTATTTTTTATGACTCCATACATC